AGACATCAATATTGAGTTTTGGATAAAGCTTAATCTTAAGATGATGGTTTTAAAGGATTCTTGCCTGGCTTATTATATTTTGTGTAGCAAAACGAAAACATATTGTGGAAATGCACACTTTCCTTACCAGCTCGCAGGGAGAAAGCTAAGGCATGGATTTATTCCTGAATCAGAGCCATACCTGGTCAGAAACAATGAGAAATGCACAAAATGATTAAGGAACTTATATATATCTAAGATATATTTAAGACCTTCGCTTATGATGAACGCACAAGGAATTAATTTAAAACTCAAAATGATGAGCTAACTTTTACCAACAACTATTAGCAATCGCATTTGTACTTTTGAATCTAAATAGCAATGATTGCTGTATGTATTTAGATGAAAAAGAAATGCTTGCTTCGCGCCCTGAAACTAAATATTGCACGTGAATTCAAAGCCCTTGCAGCCATGCAGACTGCCAAGTGCAGGAATAGTCTCGTGGAATTATGCCTTTAAAAAAATGAATAAAGCGGTGAAAACAACAATACGAAGAATGCAGCACCCTGCTGTGCTCCAAACATCACATCTGATCAGCTAAAACCTCGGAACGGTTCCAAGTAGCGCCACAAAACGAACGAGTGCGAGCCAAAGATATATATACATTTGTCGCCCATAATACCAAGTCCTCATCTCGATCCCGATCCCCATCCTCATCCTCCACAGTTCTTTGGACCAACGTCGTCTGTCCGTCTCACAGTTGTTGTTGTTGTTGTGGTTGCTTGGTGCTGTGGTTGCAACAGCGGCTTCCGTCAACGATCCCAAAAGCGATTTGCATAATAAAGATTTTGTTGAAATCACTCTGTTAAGCTTTGTTCAGCGGCAGTCAGAGGCGTTCATAATCAAAACTAAAGTGATGCGACGCGGCGGTGGTGCTGGCGGTGGCGGTGGCGGTGACGGTGGTGCTGGCGGTGGCGGTGTTGTCGGCTCTGACAGCGGCTACAGTTTTTAAAGCGTTAGCGTTGGGTGCGCTACCAACACACACATTTCTCATATGCAGCAAGTCGTGTTGACACTTTTTATGTGTTTAATAAATTAAGGTTTACAAAATAGAGAATAAAACCAAAACCCATAACATGGCTCTTGGGTATCACGCTTGAATGTTTCGCGGCTGAATGCATTCATGTTGCCGTTTAATGGTTGACATTCAAAATTTTGTTGGACCATTTGAGGCACATTTATAGCTTCTGTCGCCTTATGGCTTCTGCTTCAATGCCCAGGTGGACAGTCGGGCGGCAGTAAAGAAAAATAAAACAACAACAGCAACAGCAACGAATGCGAGAATCAACAATTGATGCTGAAAAAGGTGATTTTTAAGAGAGGTGTACGCTTGGTTAGATTGAATTTTCTCCCCTTTTTTATTTTTTTTTTTAATTTCGTGTTCGTTTTGCTTAAGCTTGAACAGACATCAGTTATATGTGTAATACAATATGTCACTTAATGTATAAGGAAATATGCACAAATTATATTGTAGTGGCTGTTAAAAGGAGCACACACACACACACATAGAGACAGCATCAAATTCATATACAATTGGACAGGCAGACAATTCAGATAAACGCTCTAGCTTTCTGTGAAACTGGTTTGGCAAGAATTTCGTATTGAGCCAAACGCGGCGCAGAAACTAAAGAAAAAATATACACAGACCCACCTATATATATATATATACATATGTATGTACGTATGTATAAACGTATTAACTGAAAGCAATTAAAACTAGCCGACGTTCATCTCTTGCTCGTCGTCATCGTCGTTGTCGTCGTTGTCGTCGTTGTCGTCGTTGTCGAGGTAAAAAAGTAAAGCAAAACGATTTTGCGGCTGAGCTGAAACGCAAGTAATCGAAATAAATGTCATTACAACAGCAATAACAGCAGCTTGAACAGGTGGTAATTAAAATACAGTTTGTATATCATTTAAATACAAGCATACATATGTATACGACATATGTCAGGCGGGCCATTAACAACAACAGCCACAATATCAAGTGTCCCATTGCAAAAACTGACTAATTACCAACTGAGTTCGTGATTATCGGTACATCCACATATGGAGTTTTTTTAAAACAAGTACATGCCTACATACATACATATTCGTTAATCGAAATGGTTGTTTTTGAATGCTACCTCAATTTCAATAACAAACATCTCGAGTGCTCCTCACTTGTCTTCTTTTTACACACATTTTGTTTAAAATAGAATTAGAAGCGCATCGAAGTATCCCGGATTTAGAACAACTTCCCCATAACACTTGACTTAAAACTGGACTAGACCGCAAAAGAGAAATCTCAAAGGTTTAGATTTTAGTCTAGTGTTTTTAGACAGACTTTTGCTGAAGCACTTCTGTTTTTTGATGTCCTTAATTCCACTTTATCCTTCAAGTACAGGCTGCACAAATATATATTTAGGACTCGATAGCTGCTTTGATAGCAAAAAAAAGAAGGTAAATAATATTTGCCGTAGATGAAGCCAGCATACTTAATTATACAGAGACATATAGCTCAGGTGAATATAAAGAAACACCTAATAATGGAAGTCTATAAAATTGTGCAAAATTATGCAAAGTTTTAATTTATGTGGAGCCCCTGTTGTGGCTCAAAGAAGTGGCGTTTAAATCACTCTCAATTTTCAAGTAAGCCCCGACTTTCGACCGCACCATGATCTAACTTATTATTTGGCATTAACATACGAGTATGTATGTATGTATATATGTATGTACGTACAAACATAAGTATGTATGTCTTCGACTGTTGCTTCCTCAATGGCTGCTTAGTCGAGTACCTCTTATGTGGTTTGTTTGTATGAGTATCGAATATAGCCACATCGTTGATCATAATTTGCGTTAACAAATGCGAGTATACATACATACATACATACATACATACATACTTGTACATACATACATACATACATACCTACTAACATTCGTACGCACTTCGACGATCGTCAGAAGCGCGCCCGATCGCTTAGATAGCAGCCAGTTTGGCCTACTCCCCGAGAGCTGTGCGGCTAGACATCGACTCTTGTGCGGCGGCGCATAAGAATGTGACATGGGAACTTCAAGTGCCCCGGCCCGACAGCACGAAGAGCATCTCCGTCTCCGTCTCCATCTTCATCGTCTTCTTCTTGATCTTAGTCTTGGTCTTCTTCGGTTGCTGACTGCTACATTGTCTTGTCACGCCGTGCTCTCCAATACTGCGGCGCATGTCCAATGTGTCCATGTCTGGCGACTCTTTATAAATACATATACATACATACATATATGGATATGTATGTGTGTGTGTGTGTGTATGTTGTGCTTGGCACAGCTTGCTCTCAAAATGTGAAGTATCCACTCAGAATTTGTCACATCATTATTCTTATTTTTCTTTTAAATAATCATATGTATAAACGTGTTGCACGTCCGCTTGGGAGGTCCGCTTGGCCAGCACTTGGCACTTGGTCTTTTGCTGGCCATTTCGGTGGAACTCCTTGAAGATCTACAGTTGACAATGCTTCAGACAGGCGGGCACACAACATTGAAAAGTACATCAATGACACGACATCTATAAATGTATATTAGTAGATATTTTCTTTAACCACCTATGAAGTTTTACTTGCTCTGGCATTCAACCGAAATGTTTCCATAGAGAGCAAGATTAGATTGTTTGCAAAATACAAAAAAAAAAAAACAAATAGTTGAGCAAGAAAAGAGTTTGAATTCAAAAAGTTCTACTAGTTGGAAAATCAAGCAGGTGAATAGTTTGAAGACCCATTGATATTGTTTTGGATACAATTCTTGATAAGGCCGATATGGCCACACAAGTGGAGTGCATACAAGTAGTTTAAATTTAAATTTAAGTATTCCCCTTCCTCAGAATCTTTCAGTCAATTAAATTCATTTTTGGGTTTCGTTTTCTTTTTCACCATATCGGTATCTGCAGGCCCCTAAATACTCGCTTATCTACCATAGCTGGGAACCAATATAATCGTAACAATCGAAAAAACTGTATCAATTCGAATTTCCATTTAGACTAGACTATTACTATTGCTACTACTGTTATAGGTTATATTTTTAGATATGCTGTTTATTTCATATTTTTTTATACAATACGATTATTAATCGAACATTTTCTCTTTCCTTCTAGCTTTGGCCACACACACACACACATCAAACTCAAACTCAAACTCAAACGTTGCTGCAATACGAAGTTGAACTTAAAGATAAAATACATAAGAAAAAGCTTGCAATTACAACTCAAAACGATCAAATAATATAATATATATATACAATATATACAATACAACGAATATATCTAGTCTAATCGCATCGTCAGAAATAAATAATAATCGGTATTATTGTAAATTGTAAGCGCCACTTTGATGAATATTGGGCAGGAGCAAGAGCAGCAGAGTCGTATTGGAACAATAGAGACGGATAAGCTAGCAGTTGATTATCCGTATTTATTTGTCACGCCACCGCAGCAGCACTTGCCGTCCCCCCTGCATGTATCCTTTTACCCGCCGTCACCGCTGCCGCCACCACTACTGCAACCACCGCTGCCACGACACCACATCGATCGAGATCGTGAGCGAGAACGAGCACGAGAACGGGAACGGGAGCGCGAGAGCGTTGCTCGAGGATCGTTGTCGCTGTTGAGTCATGAGGATCGCCAGATCGCGCGCTACGTTGTTGGGACGCCCTGCAATCGATTTAGTCACTCGGAAAAGAGTTATATCGCATGCATCAGTGAGGCATTGAGACAACAACAACAACAGCAACAACAACAACAGCAGCAGCATCAACATCAGCATCAGCAAGAGGGAAGCATCGAAGCTTCTTTGGCCTGGGGCAGCAGGCCGCATCAGCAGCTGTCCCCAATGGTTATGACACCCAGTCGACGCACTTCTTTATCGCCTCAGCCTCAGCCACAGCCACAGCCTCAGACACAACCACAGCCGCCGTCGCCGTCGTCGTCGTCGTCGTCAACATCACGACACGCTGCTGCCAATGCTGTGCAATCGATGAATGCACACTTCACTACTCTGGCGCACGCGCAGATGCAGTTTCAGTCGCAGCTGCACCAGAAGCTATCAGCAGCCCGTTTGCCGCCCAGTGGTCATCTGGTCAACTACTTCCGCAATCCCAACCCGCCAAGCTCGCCCACGGAAAAGTCTCCCACCAGCACCACTAGCACTAGCGGCTGCACCACCAATTGCACCACCAGCGGTGCTGCAGCCTCCGGCGGCATGAGCACGGCCCAGCTCAATCCGCTGAGTGATTTGCAAAACATGCAGCCCTTCGACTTTCGCAAAATCAATTCGGCCACTCTGAGCGCTTTCTCGGCGCTGCCGCCACCACTGCCGCTTCCACAGACGTCGTCGTCGTCGTCGCATCCGCGCGACATGAGTCCCACGGAGTTTGTGCATCAACAGCATCTACAACAGCAGGCGGTGCAACAGGCGGCGGTTCTTGCGCAGGCGCGGCGGCGCATCAACCAGGCAACCACCCCGTCGGAGAAAAGTGCGGCAGTTGCTGCGGCGGCTGCAGCCGCGGCCCAAAGCAATCAGTTTTTCAGTGCAATTGCCCTGGCCGGTCATCCGTTGCCGTACCATTTGCCACCACCACCGCCTCCACCGCATGCACCGTCCCAGCTGCATGTCTCACCGTCGAATGTGGGAAGTGGCGCCACCGCCAGTGGTCTGACGAGCAATCAAGTGGCCGCCATTGCCGCTGCCGCTGCCTCATCCGTAAATCCCATGCCACATGCTCTGATGGCGGGTCAGGCTTTTGCGGGCATGGCCTCCAATCTGGAGCTGGCGGCGACCGGTGGGTCCAAGGGCCAGAACACGTGCAAAGCAGACGCTGGTAAGCCAGTGAACAGTAGTCAACGCGAAGAGCACAGTCATGTGCATGAGCCGCTCTCCATGTCGCCCAGCAACCAATTCCATCAGCATCCACACGCACATGCACATTCGCATCCACACTCGCATACGGTGGCGCGTTCATCGGCCTCCTCCCCCTCAGCAGCAACGGCAGGGTCCTCCAGCATTGGCGGAGCCGGCAGCAACTCATACCAAAATCAGATAGTTTCAGATGCATGTCTCAAGTCGCGTCATATGTCCGGCGATAAGTCAGGCGGCTCCTCCTCGTCTTCGTCACAGCGCATCACACGTCTAGCGGTAGCGTCCAATTTGCGAGGAGGTCGCAAGGCGCACTCACCGGGCAAACGCCAGTGGGGTTCCATGCCAGCAAATCTGGGTACCCAGTTCATTAATCCGGTGACGGGCAAGAAACGAGTCCAGTGCAATGTTTGTCTGAAGACCTTCTGCGACAAGGGTGCTCTCAAAATTCACTTCTCGGCCGTACATCTGCGTGAAATGCACAAATGCACTGTAGATGGCTGTAGCATGATGTTCAGTTCCAGACGTTCGAGGAATAGGCATAGCGCCAATCCGAATCCCAAGCTCCATTCACCGCACTTGCGACGCAAAATCTCCCCACATGATGGACGAAGTGCTCAACCGCATCCGTTGCTACTGCAAGCACCTAATGGAATAATGGCGGGTCTGGGTCCATTTGGCACTTTCCCATTGTTAACACCACCGCCAGACCTGAGACATCACTCGATGGGTTCGCTGGAACTAAAGCATGGTCAGGAGTATTTGCAACGATCCTACATGGATAACGGTATGCTGGGACGCTACGAAGCCCAACGTGGACGGGGTAAAGAGCATTCGGAGGAGATGGATGCCGATATCGATGGTGACGATGATGACGATGATGAAATATTGGAGGTTGGCATACAAATCGGCGACTACGACGATGATGATGGCGATGATGATGACGGCGATGGCATTGTGGTTGTGGGTGATGAATTAGATAGCATACCGGAGAAGGCGAACCACGATGATTTTGTCATGGACAATGAAAGTGATGAGCGATCTACCTTAGGTGACAATACGTCAGGAATCTCTAGCCACAGTCAAACCAAAGAAAAGAGTCTAGAAAGGACGCATGGAGTAGGAGAGGTGGGGGAGTTCAATGCTGAGGAAAATGCCGATGTGGATGCAGATGTGGATCCCGATAACATGCATGGCGAACAGGCTAATGATGACTCTTTAAGTGTAACTGATTCATGTGGCGATACGAGTGGACAAACTCCTGGTAGTTTGACAGGAAATGTTGCTGGTGCTTTAGGCGCTTTAGCCCTTGCCAGTAAGCGCAAGCGTAAGAGTCAAAACCCCGTACGCTGTACTGTGCAATCCGATGACAACTCCTGTGAGAATTCCCTGGATTATGATGTTGCCGCTGATCTGTCCATCAAGAAAACAAAGCCGAGCGACGATGAAGCGGCCGCATTAGATGCCAAGCAGTCAGCCAAAGAAAACTCCTCAAGTTCCAGTGAGTCAACCAAGGCAATACCCTCACCGCCCCTAACACCCTACGCATCGACAGATCTGAGCAAGCACACCATTAAATCCGAATTGGAAGAGCCCCAGGCCAAGCAGGAGCAAACCTTGGACCTATCGCTAAACACAACCGCCAGCATTGGTAACTCCGCTTTGGAGCCAGCTGCCAACAATCCAACATTGGCGAGTTCCAGCATTAAGCAGGAGCCCATGGATGAGCTAATGCATTATGCCGATAGTGATGAGAATCGCTATTTGCGCATCAAGCAAGAGCTGATGGGCGATGAAACTCTGGGGGGCTATGGCAAGGAAATCGATATGGATGGCAATGCGAAGAGCAGCAATAACAACAATGAGGACAAGCTAACCGAAGACAGTCCCATAACACCACCCACAGAGCGACTGCTGAAAGCGGATGCCAATGGTGATTACATTGCCGAAGAGCCCGAGGTGCCAATCGATAAAGAGAATCCATTGAAGTGCACGGCATGTGGTGAAATATTTCAAAATCATTTTCATCTCAAGACGCACTATCAGAGCGTCCATTTGAAATTGCATCATAAGTGCAATATCGATGGCTGCAATGCCGCCTTTCCCTCGAAGCGCAGTCGGGACAGACACAGCTCCAATTTGAATCTGCATCGCAAGCTGCTATCCACTAGCGATGATCATGGAAATAATCATCATACGCCTGCTACCGCCGCTGCGGCTGCTGCAGTTGCCGCTGCCGCCGCCGTGGATCCCTTGCTGGAGTTCATAAACATAAATAATAATAAGAACTTTGGAGGCGGTGCGAGCGGACATGCGGCCAACATGCCAAGCTCAATTCAAGCCGAAATTCTGGCGCGCCTATGTGCCGGAGCTCGTGGGCTAAATGTGCCACTCTGCTTTGAGGCACTGCAGCATCATATTGCCGCCGCCAATGCCGCGGGCAGCGTTCGCAGTCATGGGCATGGACAAGGTTTCTCCCCCGAAGCTCCGCCCCAAACGAATGCCTTCCTGAGCGATCCACGTCTACAGCTCAATCACATCAGTAACCCGTTGCTGTACCATGGACTGTCACGTATACCACGCTTCCCGCCGCTAGCGCCACACATGCTGGCCAGCAGCCCCTTCCAAACGTTGAGTCCCTTTTGTCGACGCACTTCGTCCGATTCGAATTCACAGCATTCGATAACGCCGCCGGTGGGCACACGTTCCTGTGAGAGCACCTCATCGTTGGGGAACAGCAACAGCAACAACAATAACAATAGCGGTAGCAACAACAATGCCGCCTCAAAAACGCACTCACCCACCCAATACCCAACAATGCGTCCCGTCTCTCCTGAATACGATTCACAGCATGCGGCTAGAGGCGGCATTGGAGTCGGAGTCGGCGTTGGAGTCGGCGTCGGCGTCGGTGGTGAAGAGGAGGCCGCCAACAATTCGCTGCACTCAAGTCCAGGCAGCTCGGTGGCTGCGACTGCGGCTGCGGCTGCGACTGCGACTGCCCATCATCTAGCTCAAAGGCAAACACCCGATCGCATATCATGACCATGTACCTCGTATTATGCCAAAGCACTGGCATTTTATCACTAAATGAATCAAAACTCCCTTGCCCCCGAGAGACACATGTGGACCATGTGGACCGTGCAGACCGTGCAGACCGAATAATCCACTCCATGTGTCCATGGCCAGTCTCTCGCTGCCGCTGTCGCTGTCGCTTCAACGTCGCTTCATTGTCGAGCTCCACTGACATGCAATATCAGGCTAAAAATCTTAGTAATACAGCATTGCTCATAATCACTTAAAGGAAAGGAAAGGAAAGGATGAAAGGAAGGCGCAGGCGGTTGTCAAAGTCAGGAGGTCTTTGTCTTTTAATAGTACATTAGGAGTAAACATCAACCGCGCTCATAATAAATCAACTTTTACTAGGCTAATACTATATAAATATAAATAATATTAAACACTAGAATGATCAACTAGCATTTTTTTTTTCTATATATATAAAACTTTTTTTGAACATGTATTTATAAAAACTGTTGTTTTGTGTACAAGTATAAATTGTAGAGAATTGAGTGAAATGGGAGGAGTAACAAATATTAAATAATAACGATAATATTGTTAGTGATACTCGCTTAAATATATAAGTATAGTAAATAAGTATCGCATATATGTAATTTTTTTTTTTTAATTCAAAACCTAAGTGTATTTGTATTGTATGATAACGAGTCAACGACAACTTTGCTTTCAAGGGATAAAACTGATTTGATATATTTTCCCGTACACTAACATTATTTTGTTATATATATATAATTTTTTTTTTTTTGTCCTATAGTATCATATAGTGGGTTAGTTCTGAATCAATAAACAGGCAAATACCTTCAACTTCTCTATAAGCTATATATGTTTGCAATAAAATATCAAGAAAACAAAAAAAAAAAAGAATTGTTTCTTCATTTCTCTGGTAATTCAAGGCACATTATTGTAGGCTGTTGGAGAGTAAAGAAATCCTCCAATACTTGACAAGCTTTGGCCTCCAACTGCATTTGCTGGAAATACACATTTAACTGAGTTTCGAATAGTTGGCTCAGAAGCCCACACATCGCACAACACCCAAAGGAATGGTGTTGCTGATATACAGGATGTCCATGTGTTCATGTGATTTATTTTGGGGCGATTAAAGAAGAGCTCGTAAATTTTCGAAACTCTCTTTCTATCGCTCTGTCGCTTGCTCCCGTTCTCATTTTGTCTGCGAGGGCGTGATTGTCTTGAGAAATAAATACTATATATGCACCATTTTATTCAGCATTTGTATGCATTATTATCGTCCAGGTTGCTGTTGTTCTTGTTCTTGTTGTTCTTGTTGTTGTTGTTGTTGTTGTGCGTGTGGTTGTCCATGTCAACTCCTTCACCCCTGAACCTCACAACGACCCCAGGCATCTAAATTAATAGATACTACATACAGATATATACTATACTATATGTATATCGAACCCTTTCGTAGCACTGGCAGTACTCGTCCTCGTCCTCGTCCACGTCCACGTCCTCATCATCGTACAATAGGAACGCAGAGAAAATAACAGAGAGCCTCGCCGTACTGCAATTTATTTAAAGTAACATTTTAGTGTTTCCTTCCGCTGAAATTCGTTCTCTTCCTTCCTGTAAGCAAGGCTCGAGGAAAAACAACAGATTGTGGGCAAATAAAATTGCCACAATGTTATCGTTAAGCCTGCAGCGGACACGCAGAACAGAAAACAAGACAGACACTGTATACACACCCATATGTGTATAGTACATACGAGTATGTACGTGTATGTACGTGTATGTACGTGTATGTATGTAAATGCAGCCTTACACATGCCCCTCCCTCTTTACATACACACTACCATACCATACATGTGCTCGTATCCAGCCATATGGTGGCTATATATTTTATTCATTTCTTTAATATAGTATGTGTACGTATGTAAAAGGCTAACACATGTAAATGCAATGACGTCTTTTATCTACAACTACATACATACTACATACATACGTACATACAATATGTATATAAACGGATATGTAGATTTGCGCCGCAAACTTCTTGGCCAAAGCTCGAAAGTCTTTTGGCAGTAAGACAAAGAAACACCAAAAGGACTTGAAGTGTAATGTGTGAGGAAATGGTCAGAAAGGAATTACTGTCAGCTATCCATTAGGCTTACCCCAGAATTCTAAGTTATAGTATACTTGTATATACAAGTATGTACGAGCACAACTGCACATAAGAAGTGTGCAGTCGAAATCATTATTGATATCGGATTCTCCACGTACCAGATCCAATTGTTTAAGTTTATGAGTTTAGTATTTTAAAAAAACACACACCTATGTAAAGTCATCCATCTGTAATATCCAAATTTTTTGCCATTAATTTAATTTGCAAGTATGTGTAATCTCACATCTTGCATCAATTTTGCAGCTCATTCTCTGCTACTTAAATAATAATAATGTCAAAAGAAGAGTTTAATATACCGTAAAAGACAAATTGTCGCCAGGTCGAGCCTCCCATTCCATAAATATTATTAAAAAGACTCGTACCGTTATACAAGTAGAAGGCCAATATTGCAGTAAGCATTAGGGACCGATATACTTGTATATGTCAAAAATATTCAAAAAATTATAAAAGGCTGTAAAAGTGTAATTCTTATATCTAGTCGTTGTAGCTTTAATAAAAACCTATTTTCAGTTTTAATTACTAACAATGGTTTTCGTTTAGCAATGTATGGTATCTCTGCGCTCCAACAACTCCTTCCATACTCCCATACTCGTATTCAGACCTAGCCATTGAACTAGCTCGAATAAAACACACAAGTTTTGCAACGCCAAAACTATCGTACATCGTCCCTAATGGCAAAAATAATATGTAGATTCCCCATTCCCCATTACCGTAGTATAATGGCATGAAATTCGATTTAAACAGGCACCGAATTAAAGCAGAAATAAACAACAACTTAGTACATGCACCCAAACATGCTTACACTCATGATTGCGAAGAGAGTCAGGCATGTACCCATATACCCGTAGTACTCGTATATATACTATAGTAAGTATGTACTTGTACATAGAAGTACCATTTACAGAATGCGCCGCTTGTATATCACTGCACATAATCGAGTATATATGTATTTACTAAATTGTATATGTGACCATAGGACGAAGTCAGGTGAGTGTTAGACAGTCGTTGTTTACTTGTATATGTATGTGTGCATACATACATACTCGTATGCTCGTATGTGCAATTTATTCGTGTGGCCATCTATGTATGTATGTAGTTATGATGCCATCGAGAGTGCAGTCAATGTCTAGTCTCTGCCACAGTGGTGTTGGGGGGTGTTCGTGTTACTATTCGAGGGTCCCATTGCCATCGGGTTAGCGCCACCATGGCTGAGTTCGCTATTTTTACGAAAGGCTGGAAGGGACGGTGTCGCGATGTGGCAGCCAAAAAACTGATAATGTATTGCTACCAACTGCAACTAATTTGTTCGGCAGGGAGTGCAAAAATGGGTGAGTGGGAGAGAGAGACAGAGAGACAGACAAAGACAGACAGAGAGAGAGAGAGAGAGAGTAGCGGAGTGGGTGCCTCGCGATAACTATTCTAGATATGCATTCGTTAGTTTAGATTGCACTGGAAGTCTACAGTTGTACATATAACTGCATAAATGTATGTACTTCCTATCAGTTTAATTGAAGCGCTGAGCCTCCCACACCTACATGTGTGTGCTACACATACAAGCATACATGTGCCCGATTAAAAATCGCCCTCTTAAGCACCTAAAATCGTTAAAATTATACAAAATTATTTACAGCGAGCATTTTCAAATGCAAACGTTTGCCCAACTTTTAAAACAATACGCCATTCCTTTAATCACTCTATTCCCTGCAATCTTAAAAAATCTGGTTTTATTTTTGACAAATTTTCAGTATTATTCGTAAGACCTGCAAGACAGTTGGCTAGAGACGAGACATTTCAAAATTATTCCCATTTTTCGTCTGTTTTTTCTTTTATGTTTCTCTTTCTTTTTAGACACGAATTAGGAGTCTGCCAAAAATAAATAAATTTAAAATTTCCAGTTGCTTTGTTATACAGAGGGTGCTTCAAACATAATTTGGTTATAGCTATTTCTACACTTGTGGCGTTTTAAGGTCATCTCGAAACATATAACGCGCAAAGAAATAGAGAATTTCATATTTCCTTGATATTTTCCTTAAAAATGCACTCAAGCTGTTAAGCTTACGCTCAACTGTTCAGGTAATATCGGAGTTTATGTAGGTAAAATATTTTAAATCGGTTGGAATCAGAATCCACAAGTATGATCATCATACATACATATGTGTGTGCACATCAATGGACATGGCCCAAAGCAGACCCCTGATTTGATATGATGTGTCAAGGAAAGACCTTGCGCAGGTAGAATTAATCCAATTTATGCAGTGGATAACGAGAAGCGCGATCAACTAATCCAATAACCGACACATACTGGGTGATGGGATCAATGAATGAATCCGACGGCTTTCATTGATCTGCTTTTCAATAAGCCCAATGTTGCTTGGCGATTAGAAAAGGCCAATCGCAGATTACATGCATTACGGAGTGATGTTGTCACCCAATAGGCTGGTAGCAACAGTTCCTAATCTCTCATTCAGTAATCTGCCGCTGGTCCACCAAAATGCTCCCTAATTATGACCTGTATGTTGGCCTATAAATGGCAGAAACATGTCATCTATTGTCGCATTTAACAGTCGACGCTTGGAAAGAACACACATCGCATCGAATTTGAAACATAGTTTAAGAAATCATAGAAGATACTTTGGAAATGGCACCTGTTTTTCAATCGAGCTTCTCTATACGCTCCCTGCTCTCCGAAACTCAACTGGACAGCAAAAATGATCAGAAGTATTACGTGAATGGCTCGCCCAGTAGCCCCAGCGATTCAAATTCTTCGGAGGATGCATCGTCCGATGAATGCAATGCAGGAAGTGGATCCAATCGCAATGCCAGCGATGCCAAGCCGGCCTTCACATATAGCGCCCTGATTGTTATGGCCATTCGAAGCAGTCCGGAGAAACGTTTGACCCTGAGTGGTATTTGTAAATGGATTGCCGATAATTTCGCATATTATCAGAACCACAAGAGTGTCTGGCAAAACTCGATACGTCACAATTTGAGCCTCAATCCGTGTTTTGTGCGGGTGCCGCGTGCTTTGGACGATCCGGGACGTGGACATTATTGGGCTTTGGATCCATTTGCCGAAGACCTAACAATTGGTGAGACGACAGGGCGGCTGAGACGCAGCAATCAGACAGCGATGATGGGCCGCCACATGGCCGCATTATCCAACATTTCGTGTAATCGTTCGAAGGCAGCTCTGCCATATGGCAAGGGTTATATGCATCCTTATCAACAACAACAACAACATCAGCAGCAGCAGCAGCAGCAGTCCACCGATACAGCCACATTGTATGCTCAGTTCTTTAGAAGCAATGCGGCTGCTTATTGTCCCATCCCTGACGAACTCCAGACAATTATGATGCACAACTATCAACGCAATCAGCAACAGCAACAGCAGCAACAACAAAGAGCCTGGACTTACGCACAGCCAGCTGAGAGGCCAATGCCGCCACAACTACATCACCAACATCAACAACAACATCAACAACAACATCAACAACAACATCAACAACAACAGCATCCAGCGCCACTTATGTATCAGTACTACAACAACACAAACAGCAGCAGCAACACCTACTACCAACGACATCATCAACAACAGCAACAACTTGCCACATCAGCCGCTTATTCCAGCAAATGGATACAACAACAACAACAACAACAACAACAACAACAAATGAACAGCTTTTGGGCATAGAAATGGGAATTAGGTTCATGACTTGATTGACAACACTTCAAGTTTCCTTTTAGCGTAGAACGCGCTTTAGTTAATTAATCGAAGCATTTTAGCAAGCCAATCCAGCAAATTAGTTAAATAAATGCTAAGATAGTGCAGATACACACAAGTAGAGTAGAATTACGAGCTAGAAAGTTCTCTAATCCTGAGTAATGCAATTGAGTAAGTTTATCACTAGGCAGCGATCTATAAGTATCCTATCTAGCCTAACTTTGTCTAAGTATTAAACTAATTAGTTTCAAAATAAAACGTACTAAAAATGTTTAGGTAAAGCGTATAAGTTTATATAGTAAGGTATACTAATTTGAAAATATGAATACAAAATGTAACAATAAATAAATTATCTTTGAAAGCAAAGAAAAAATGACAGACAAATCTCACAAAATATTGGAATATTTGATTTGCCTAGATATTGAAGTAATCCTTTAGACATCCTTGTGACAAGCACGGCTAAATATTGTTAAAGCATTTTATCGTACAATTTTCCAAAAATAAAATTGAAACAGAAACGTTATTCAAAGACGTTTGTTAAAGAATGAAAACTATAGACATATTTTTGTTTTCAACATCTATTTGAAAGGATTCTTGAAAGTTGTGCCAATCTATTTGCAAATTATTTGCCTGAGCATAGCTTAAGGCTTTATCTTTTGGTTCCATCAGTTGTGTTTGCTATTTATAATACATGATGCTCTAGTACAATAATATCACAATTATTTATTACTACTCTCTGCTGTGAATCGGGGCAAATAAAATTCCCCCACCGTGTCGGAGTCGTGATTAGATATTTTTGTGATTTTTATAGGCTTTTTTATTTCTTTAGTTTTATTTAGTTTAAGTTCTCTATTATATTGCTTTTTTATGTACATCGACTGCATGGTTTGTCGATGAAATAAATAAATAAATAAATAAATTACTCAACATTTAGCTTATGGTTCATACCGCAAAATAGTTCTATCTGCTTGGCTTACAGAAACTGAGGGTTATCTCAGATCAGGAACAATTATTTAAGTGGAGGATCTCTCGTGTACGGACGGTCTTAGCAATGTCTCTAAAACAGAAATCAGTTAAAGCCAAAACAAAATCATTTGCGGTTCCGTTGAGCTAAACTAGTATTTACTAGGGTATGGGTACGCCTGCACCAAATAATATTGCGTTTGCTCTTTATGGGTTTGCACAACAACAACAACAAGAAGAAGAAGAACAACAACAACAAAAAGAGCAACAGCACATGCAGCAGCAAGAACATGAAACTACTAAGCCAAAATAACTTATGAAAAGAGCTAATCTGATAATATACAGAGTTGAAAGGGGCGGTCACGGCACGAATTTCGCTCTACACGCTTTGACGATGATACGTACATATATACATACTATAAATATACGTGTATGTACGTATGTATGTATTATGTTGGTATGCTCGTACGACCGCGATCGTCGATGGCCGATTGGCGATGGCAACCACGTCGACTGCACTTGCCAATATCGAACCCTTCGATTCCGATGCAATAATTGCGCAAAAAATGGCTTGCTTGGCATTTGATAATAAGGAGTTTTTTTTTAGACAATGTGGAACATTTTTTCTACCCAATAGCTTCAGAGAGAAGTGCAAAAAAATTCAGATCCAAGTATTTAAACAAAAGTATTATCACAAAAGTCTATTTTAAACACCTATTCTATAATATTACATACCTTCTTTGAGAATTGAGTCTATTATTGCTTTCAACTTATGAAAAAACAATCAATAAACTGAAACGGCAGATAGAAATTTGTTAAGAAGTTTCCTTTGGAGTAGTGGAAACTTTGACCCGTAACTGGAAAAAATTCTAGATCGTGTTGCTTGAAAGAGAGCCACTTTTGTGCTAACTGTAAATATTTATTTGTAAAGCCTGAATTTATCTTAAGCGCTTTTCTTGACCTTTATCAAGATCCAAAATATTTTATAAAAATTGTTTGATTTTTTTTTGTTTTGCTTTCCAGCAACAATTATGTTTAAATAAAACTAGAGAAATGACCGACATTTGTTGAATAGGTTGTAAGAAGAATAAAAAATAAAAATAATTTTGTTAATAAGACTACAGAATTCTAAATTAAACAACAATTTTTAAAAGTAGATTTTGATTCGTGAAAATAAAGATAATCTCTTACATTAATAGAAAAGAAGCCCAAATCATAAGCTACATTACAGATCATATTTACAAACTCTACTTCAATATATTACCATTTAACAGCAGCGTTATGTTAGCAAATTAAATGTGTTCTCCAAATATCCTTAAATACAGAATCTCTCCTTGTCGTTAGCGTTGTCCATGTCCTTCATTTTGAAAAACAAAACACACGCGTGAATATATGCAGCAAGAGGAGACGAAAGGGAAGCCATTCTTCTGTCTGGCCTAGCCAAAATAGAAGGCGAGAACCCAAATTGCTCTCCATTCTTCAGAGCTTGACATGGCGACCAACTAATGGACATGCCGGACAGTCGCACACACACACACAAATATACTATACAACCAGCTCATATAAGTGCATGTATATAGTATAGGTATATGCGCACTCACACAGACAGAGGTTAAGGGCACAAAAGAAGAGATTAAAAAATCTCTTCAAACTCAATTATAAAAATTCAACCCAATCTCGATTCCCGCGAACTGCCCGTTGGAGGTTTTTATTATTGCCGTTCTCGTTCTGGCCTTACTTCTTGTGATCCTTCGTGCGTCGTTTTGTGGTCATTCGTCATTTTAAAGTTCGCACAGCGCCCTTGCCCCCGGTCAGTCATTGACACTGATATGTGTGGCAAGGTATGTCTTTTGAAATGACAATCTGCAATTTGCTATTCGAAACCGTTTAAAGTAATTTATTTTCCATTTCGAGGACGCGATCTGTGGCGTTCTTGAGTTCTTGTTACTGTTGCTGTTGCTGCTTTGCCTGTTGTTGTATTTGTTTTTATTGCCCAGTCCACTCTGTGTTGCAAGTTGTTTTGTAGCAGTTGTCGGGGCTGTTCATCTACCAGGCTCCATATTTAAAGCTTCCTTTGTTTTATATACAGCTTCCCATGGAAATGGATCTAAGCTCGTGTTTCGAGCTAAAATGTATATTTTTTCCATTGAAAAGTCCCTTTGCAAATTGGGAAAAGGCATAGATACTCAAATGGTCCCACAAAACGGAAACATATTTTCTAGATATTTAACTTCAAAATGCCAAAAAACACATAGTGGTTAGTGGTTGAAGGACCACTAAATTTAAGAAGAGTTTTGAATTGTTCGTTGATTTTTTGAAATGTGCATCAAATTAAGGTTTGTTAGGAAGTTAATTTTGCAGTTCAGTTTTACAGTTTTGCCCGAGTTCTCGATATATTGCAGATATGCTCAAAATATTTTAAATCATATGAAGTCTACCTCTGCTGTTGTTTTATTATTATTTTATTTAGCATGATCTTAAGCAGCGTATAGACAGCGTATACATAAAATAAAATAGAAGTGCTGAATATTTATATTTGAACCATTCCATTTGAACAACAAAACAGCAAACTTGTCGAGAAGACTTGATTTATTCATCCGAAGACAAATCCTTATTAAAATACATTTAAAGCCTTATGCTAATAAAAACAAAAATTAAATTTGAGTAGCTGCAAGGGGAATAATTGATGTAAGCATTACTCCAGTTTTATGTTATGCTTTGAATAGATAATGTTAATTTAAGGGCTTTTAAAGCACTTTAAAAAAATATATATACTTATGTATACATATATGAGTTGCCGAATCTATTATCTAAATATTCAAATATCCAAATGTTCAACAAATTCAAATTCCTATTTAAATCAATTCCTTGTCTAACGCGATTAAAATCAACAACAAGTTACTAGATGCAGACTTATTGAAATAGTTTCCAAATTGGACAACTGTGTTGTTGTTTCTCCATCATCTCATCATCTCAGCTCATCTCTCTGCTATAGACTTTGAGACTTTCTGACTTTTGAGATGAAATATACCCATTACTATACAGAATATCAGACGAAAAAGTGACTACAACTTGGCTTATAGGCGAAAATCTAAAAAATGCCTTACATTTGCATTGGTCTGGTGAGCACTCGCCAACATCAATTGACTTTGTCGATTCTCTCCTCTTCTTTATTAATGACTTTCGTACTCCTTGAGCATCACTCAGGACCAGGACTGCCCTTTGCCGAACCTTAACAGTATCGATTGCATTGGCGTGAGAAGAAGACTTCGTTATATTAAATTGAGTTCATAAATATTATATTGCTGATATATGTGCGTGCATACATTTACATATAAACGAGTACGAGTCGTGTCGCTTAACAATGAAACAAAGAAAGAAGCAGACTTTGTGGGCAGATGGACAAACGTAGAATCAGGACATTGCCTGCATCTACGCCCCCTATTCGGACTTGCCATGATTGAATGCAGACATTTTCATACGTACCCCTTTTCCTTGGTTCCAACAAAGGTCAACTCTCAACATATGTATGTGAGCACGCAGTTTTGGGCATTTTCTATGCGCTCCATAAATAATGCAGTCAATTAATCTGACCAAAACATGTCACATACAACGTCAGGTTACGTACTTGTATTCCTGAAGTGGATGTCTGAGGTGCGCATAGTTATCCTTCTCAACGGTACGGACACGGTCAGTTATGTATGTAAGCTACAATGTGC